GAAGTTCATATTACATTTACAGTCAATCTTACCTTTATTGTCTCCTTGATGATAAGGATTAAAATATTTTGTATGATATTCTTTAAATGTCAATAAACTTACATGACAGAATGCATGAAATAATAGCAAATATATGGTCAGAGGGATCTGCCTATTTATATAATTCATAGCTCAATATATTGATTTATAACTCAATAAAAGAAATAGGTCAACCATAGAGTAGACAAAAGAAAAATTCAGTTTTTATTCTGTCATAGAAAATGTTGGCATTTTTAAAACTTACCTCTCCATAGAATTTTTCCTCAGCCATCACAGTGCACATTGATTCCATAGAAATTATAAACTTATTTTCAAAAAAGTGATTTAGAAATAGAACAATACAAAGATATCTTTCAAGGCTTTATTTTTTATGAAGTCATCAAACTTCACATTTTTTGTCTAGCCATAAAGAACTTAATACCTATTAAATAAATATGGTTTCTGTCTTTTGCAGGGTGGATTATATAGATTAACCTCCTGATTTCAGATCTATAACAGTCACATAAATTGATTTTTTTCCTGTTGCTAATTTTATTTTTATAGCAGTTTTATTGAGATGTAATTTAGAAGCCACACAACATACTCATTATAAGTGTACAATTCAATGATTATAGTATATTCACAGAATTGTACAGCCAATACCACAATCAATTTTAGGGCATTTTCATTATCCCAGAAAGAGGCTTTGTGCCTCTTAGTAGTTAGTCTTCATTTACTGTCAACACCTCCAAACCCCAGCCTCAAGCAACAACAATCTTTTTCCTGCCCCTATGATTTCAGCCATTGGGGATTTCATATAAGTGTACTTATACAATATTTGTACTTTTGTGTCTGGTGTTTTTTACAGATCTGAAACTTGAACATTTTATATCATAATACTGGGTTTTATATTATGTTGCCTGTTTAATTGACTTTCTCTGACAGTGCTCTAGCAGGGGAAGGAGGGAACTGCCTTATGACTGTCAGATGGAAAAATAAGTCCAGATTCCCCCGTTGGTCTCTGGTAACACCTCTGGTTTTCAGCAGCTCTTTCAACGACAAGCTGTAAGGGTTGATTCACGAAGTTTCTTTTTATGGAGTTGATAGACATTCCTGAGTTGTACCTTGTTCCTTTTATTTGCCTAATCCCTGAGGTCAGCAGCCTTGAGATATTTACATGAATCAGGACAATACTCAATATATTGTACTGGCATACTTTGGACATACCGCAGATTAACTTCCACTGCCACAACAAAGCCAGTATCACACTAAAGTCAGTGAAATGAATCCCCCAGTGCCTATAAAAGTTGTGTTTACACTACACTGTATTCTATTATGTGATGGCTTTATGTCTAAAAAACCATGTACATAACTTAATTTTTAAAAATACTTTATTGGGGCGCCTGGGTGGCTCAGTCCGTTACACCTCTGCCTTTGGCTCAGGTCATGATCCCAGGGTCGTGGGATCGAGTCCCACATTGCATTCCCTGCTCAGCAGAGAGCCTGCTTCTCCCTCTCTCTCTGCTGCTTCCCCTACTTATGCTTGCTCTCTCTCTCTGGCTCTGTCAAATAAATAAATAAAATCTTAAAAATATATATATTTTATTGATAAAAATGCTAACCGTGATTTGATGGAGCTCTGAGCTTCCAGAGAGTCATAATCCTTTTGCTGGTGGAAGGTGTCACCTCCATGTTGCTGGCTGCTGATGGGGCAGTGGTTGCTGAAGGCTGGGGTGGCTGAGGCAATTTCTTAAAATAAGACAATGAAATCTGCTGCATTGATGGATTCTTCCTTTCACAAATAAGTTTCTCTGTAGCATGCAATTCTTTTTGATAGCATTTTTCCCACAGTAGAACTACTTTAAAATTTGCATCAATCCTCTCAAACCCTGTACTTCTTTTATCAAATTAGTTTATGTACTATTTTAAATCCATTGTTGTTCTTTCAACAATCTTCACAGCGTCTTTACCAGGAGTAGTGTCCATCTCACAAGAACCTCTTTCTTTGTTCATCCAGAAGAGACAAGTCCATCCCATACTGGAGGCTGGGGGAGTTCTAGAATAAGGCAGGTAGAACAGGGAAATGCTGACCTGACACCTTGTTCCCAGCCCTTCCTCCTCCTGTAGTTCCCCAACATTTCCCTGTTCTACCTGCCTCACATCCATTCAAGTTTTATTATGAGATTGCAGCAGTTCAAATATAATAATAATGAAAAATTTGAAATATTGTGAGGATTACCAAAATGTGACAAAATGAGCAAATGTTATTGGAAAAATGGTGCAATACACAATTGCTCGATGCAGGGTTGCCACAAACCTTTGATTTGTAAAAAAAAAAAATGGTATCTGTGAAGTATAATCAAGTGAAATATAATAAAATGAGTTATGCATGTCTTCTGTATATATATTGACAGCATGCCTTATTAATAATATTAGAGTTATGATATTGTTGTTGGAAATAATTTTATGGCACTAGCTTCCTATCTCTCCTGATTGATTATTATAAATATTTGAAATCAATTCATATCCATATCATGTACATTCCAAAATCTCTTTGTAAATACAATCATTTTACAATTGTAAATTTGTACAATTTTATCACAGGAATATCTGAAACTGTTTTTTCCTGTTTATTTATTTTTTAAATATTTATTTATTTGAGAGAGACAGAGATAGTGAGAGAGAGCACAAGCAGACAGAGGGAGAGGGAGAAGCAGACTCCCCGCTGAGCAGGGAGTCTGACATGGGGCTGGATCCCAGGACCGTGGGATCATGACCTGAGCCGAAGGCAGACGCTTAACTAACTGAGCCACCCAGGCACCCAGTTTTTTTCCTGTTTATAGAGATTTTTGTTAAGCAGTTGAATATGCTTAGCTTATCAGTTATAAACTAGCAACAAAAAATCACTTGAATATTTCTTCAATTGACTCATGGGCTTTGAGGATCCCAGACGGCAACTACTAACCTTAACAATATTAGAACTCAAAAATACAGAAAAATTATACTTCATTCAATTTAATTTAATGTTAATGCAAATATCTTTCCCTCAGATTTGTTTTTGTTTGTTAATAGTAAAAGTTGACATTATTAAATGAAGGAAAGTTATCAAATCACTGAGTACTTGCAGAACTAAACCAGTAAGTATGTGTTAGCTTACATAGTCTGATTTTTAAGTGTATTCAATGGAATTTTTGTAAATGATAAGTTTCAACCATGTTTTGGCATTTTTTGGTTTTAAATCTTGAATGAAGAGGAAGAGGATGCTTGAAAAGAGAGAAGGCTTTGGAGCACCTGGGTGGCTCAGTCGGTTAAGCGTCTACCATCGGCTCAGGTCATGATCCCAGGGTCCTGGGATCAAGCCCCACCTTGGGCTCTCTGCTCAATGGGAAGTCTGCTTCTCCCTCTCCCACTTCCCCCTGCTTGTGTTCCCTCTCTCACTGTGTCTCTCTCTGTCAAATAAATAAATAAAAAGAGAAGTTTTCAAATTTTACTAGAAAATTGCTCTTTAAGTGATCCTACACACAGAACTAGAACAGAAACATGTGAAAGGGAAATCTTGAGGCTCCTGTTATAATCTCAAAAGTACTCATAGGGCAACCACCCTCCCTCTTCAGAGAGTTAAGACCTAGAAAAGCAAGAAACATGGACCAAATAACAAGCTTTTTGAAAAGCTGAAATGGAATGATTCTGTACTCCAATTTCAGTGTGTGTGTGTGTGTGTGTGTGTGTGTGTGTATGGTTTTCCCACATCTTTTTTCACAGTTAAATCCATATGTAATTTGCAGCCAGAATACCACATACTGGTGGTCAGAACTGAGAGCTTCTGACATTGCTCAAACAGTTCTTGGCAGCCTGAGCAGTCTCCCTCTTCAGCCTAATTCTGCTGTTCATGGCAAGAAATATCCACCAGCAAGAAGTCCCACAATTCAACCCAACTCAAGACCAGGTTGTTACTTGTGCTTCTGACCAACTGAGTCCAAACGAGAGGCTCCAATGACCCCATTCCTTGGGCTTGCGACATTTGCTATGGCAGCTCTCAGAACACAGATAAACAGTTTACTCACTAGATTACTGTGTATTACAAAGAATGTCAAAGGATACAAATCAAAGTCAGATGAAGAAATACATAAGAGTAGGGTCTCAAAGAATGGAGCTTTTGTCCTCATTGAGTTTGAGGCCTGGGACAGTGGCATTTGGAAGTTCACCACCAGTCTGGAAGCTTTCTAAACCCATTCCTTTTGGGTATTTATGGAGGCTTCATTACACAGCAAAGACTAATTAAATCACTGGCCATTGATAATTGATTTAACCTCCAGCCCCTCTCCCATTGCCAGGAATCAGGGGGTAGAACTGAAATTTCCATCCATCTATTCAGTGTCAGTTCCCCTAGCAACAGCCCCCATCCCGAGGTACGTTCCAAAATTACCTCATTAACATAATAAAAGACATCTTTTTTTGCTCTTATCACTTGCCAAATTCCAAGGGTTTTTGGAGCTCTGTGCCAGAAATTGGGTGAAGACCAAATATATATTTCTTATTACCAATTGCAATATCACAACCACTCTTTAGATTAAAATATAAGCTAATGAAGGCAAATTTCAGCCATACAATTATAGCTATAATCTTGGATTTTTTGAGAAAATAATTATTTTTTAATAAATACCTTATTTGTATGTCCTTAATTACAAATGTTATTATACAATTATTTTCTCTAAATCACAAAAAATATATAAATGAAAAAAGTATTTTGCATTGATTCAGAGATTCACATCCTAGAATATCAGAAGATTTATATGACAAACTATTGTTTTTGTGATGCAACTATATGAATTAAATAGCTTGCCTTTTCTAGCTGCCTCCTATGACAAATAAGTGTGTAGAATGAAAAGATCTATACAATCCTTAAAAGCTTTAACATTCATGGAATTCACAGAAGTAAGAACTGACTGGTGGACTGTTGTAGGTTTAGCAGGGACTTGAGATTAACAGGGGAAATGTTTCATTTCTGTGGCCCTTTCCACAGCATCCTTTACCTCTTTGTTCTCAGACTGTAAATAAGTGGGCTTAACACGGGAATCACTAGTGTATAGAACACAGAAACCACCTTCTCCTGTTCTACGGAATACTGGGAACTTGGCTGGAGGTAACTAAAGCTTAAGGTACCATAGAATATGGTCACAGCAGCCGGGTAAGAGGCACAGGTGGAGAAGGCTTTCTGTCTGCCTGTGGCTGAGCGGATCCTCGGGATAGCAAAAACAATGAACATGTAGGAAATGGTCACAATCAAGAAGGTGGCCATGGCAATGACTCCAGAGAAGGTTAAGAGCAACAATTCATTCGCGGAAGTATCAGAACATGACAGCTTTAGGAGTGAGGGAATATCACAGAAGAAATGACTGACAACATTCCTCCTACAGAAGCACAGTCTGCCGAAGCTTGTGTGTATTAATGAGTTAATTATTCCACATATCCATGACCCAGTGACCAGCCCTACACACTTCCTCTTAGACATGGCTACACTGTAAAGCAAAGGGTTGACAACGGCCACATAACGGTCACATGGCATCACTGGCAACAAGAAGACTTCTGTGGTGATAAACACCCCAAAACATAAATGCTGCGCTATGCAGGCAGAGATTGAGGTGGTTTTCCTCACAACCCAGAAGCTGATCAGCATTTTCGGTGCAGTAACAGATGAATAGCAGGCATCTACAAATGAAAGGCAGCTGAGGAAAAAGTACATGGGCCTGTGGACCTTGGGAGTTATTTGGATTAAGAAAATCATGCCCAGCACGGAGCACTGGGTGTTATGCACAAACAATGAATCAGGGAACACTACATCAAAAACTAATGATGTAATGTATGGTGATTAACATAACAATAAAAAATTTAAAAAAAAAATCATGCCCAGATTCCCCACCAAGGTAACGACATAAATCACCAAGAACAACACAAAAAAAATCTAATTTTCAAGTCAGCACAGTCTGTCAGTCCCAAAAGAATAAATTCAGTAATAGCTGTGAAATTCTCTTGGCCCATTTGGTAATTCCTTATCTTGAAATCTGGGATGAAAAAATAAGGGGATTAGAAGAGACAGGACAATCTGGTATTTATTAAAGACAAATAGAAACTATACGTATAAAGTTGGGTCCTTGAATACATTATTATTTTGCTGAATCTAAGTCTCATTTATTTATTTTTAAAGATTTTATTTATTTATTTGAGAGAGAGAGAGAGCACTAGCGGGGGGCGGGGGGAGGGGCAGTGTGAGAGAGAGGGAGAAGCAGACCCCCGCTGAGCAGGGAAACTGATCCCAGACAGAGATCCCAGGACCCTGAGATCATGACCTGACCCAAGGCAGATGCTTAACCAGTGAGACACCCAGGAGCCCCAAAGTCTCCTCATTTATAACAGTAGGAACTTGATTACATTCTTAATTTCTTTTCAGTTTTACTTATGATTCTATTCCATAAAGAAATATGTGCAAAAGTATTTATGCTCTCAAAAATGTCAGTCTGTCTCTAAAGTGCCCGCATATAGGAAGGTGATATCAGCATGAGGGACACTAATGGCAAGTGAAAGGAATTTGCAAAGTTAAATTCAAGCCCTGTTTATGACTCTTCACCTTTAAATATAAAAGGAGTAAATTACAAATCAGCTGTACTGTTAACTAGGTAGTTAATACACAAAAGCACTATGCTGTAACCAGAGAACTGGCAAAGATTATATAGCAGGGGTTGACCTTCAAGATGATGGCATGATACCCTTCAAGTGCATGGCTCTCTGGCCTCTTCTGATATCTCCTGATGAGCAGCACAGAAGGACACCCTCAGTGGAATCACCTTCTCTGAGACCCAGAGCACTGAAAACTATATCTTGCCTAAATGGAACAGTTAGAAGATTTCAGAAGTTATCTGAGGCTTCAAATAAATAAATTATATACTTATTTTTGCTATTAACTTGTCATTATATAAATACTTATCAGATAATGTGTATAATATTTAATGTACTTAATTATTTGCTATATACATGTATATATAAATACAGGTCTATGTATGTAAAAGCTCTCACACACAATATATATAGAAAAGATAAAATTTAAAATGTATGTAGCCACAGTCATCTATTGCTCTGGAACCCTTTTCTCATATCCTTTCTATAATGATAAATATGTATGACCATTATGGTTTTCTAAATCCAATTTTCATTAGTTTGGTTACTTATACTTTTTATTCAACTTTTAGTCTATTTCTGTAAGAATTGATATATCCATAATAGAAATCTCTCTCCCATAGTCTACATTTAAGAGTGAAGAGTGCATTTTTAGAAATGAAATAAAAACAATGATAAAATTTGGCTTATTTATATCCCATTGCCTTATTTTAAGTAATAAATTTTAGTTGCCACAAAAGAGAAGTGGTTAACATTAACCAATGATTTAAATACGTTACTATCACTTACTGACTTACTGACTTTGGCAAATTCATTTATTTTCTCTCAGACTGCATATAATTACACCTACATCACATGGTTATTGAAAAAAATAGGAGATACTGCAAGTAAAATGCTAAATGTTATTTTGAGTGTATAAGTACTCAAATTAGAGATAAGATAGTAAGATAGATACATAATAGAGAGATGATAGAGATAGATGATGGATAAATAGATGATAGATAAGTAGGTAGATAAGCAATATATTGATAGGCAATTGCTATGTGAGTTTTTTTAAGGGAAGATGTGGGTGAATATAAATCATGAAAAAAAATACTTTAATCAGCCAATTTACTTTTCCCCAATTTTAAATCTCCACTTCATGTTATTTAAAATGGTATTTAAATGTAAATGCATATGGATGGTTTAACATTTTCTTTGATAAGTTACTAGCCCGTAAATTTTCACAATTTCTCATATGCTGTTTAGAAACTACCAAAACATTTGCCAAAGTGCATGAGTCCTTTCAGCAAACAACGCAAGTAATGTTAATCCCAGACTTTTCAAAACTGAATATAACAGCTGTCCATCACATCTGAACTCTCCTATGCAGTAGCTATTCAAAGTGAATATTTAAATAGAAACTGAAACCGAATCAAATTTCAGTTCTGTGAACTAGTTCCTATTCAAGTGGCCAATACCCATATATGACTAGTAATCATTATCCTGAACAGAACAAATTACAGACATTTCCATCACTGCGGAAAGTTGTATTGATTAGAGTTCTCATGTAACTATCAGACTCCTTTTCAGAAACATCGACTGAAAAACATTTTCTTAAGGAAGGGTTATCTATTATAGACAGTTTTCACTGTAAGCATAATTTTTAAAAATGGCACTTTCAAAAGGAATTTAGAAATGCAACTATATTGCTTTTTCAGGGATGCCCATCCTCTGCAAAATTTAAGGGATATTGAAATAGAATTGAATGATAGGATGTGGAGTTAGATGAAATGACCTCCAACATTTTTAAGACTCATAATATTCTATCAGATTTAAAATGAATTTTCTAACTGATCTGCATATAAGCAAATTCAAATAAAAAAGAAAAAAAATTACAAAATAAATTGAACTTACCAAAAAATATTTTCAACTTTCGCTTTAGAAACTTCATATCTCTGAGGAATTCTTAATCTCAGGAAACAAACTGAGGGTTGCTGGAGTGGTGGGGGGTGTGGGAGGGATGGGGTGGCTGGGTGATAGACATTGGGGAGGGTATGTGCTATGGTGAGCGCTGTGAATTGTACAAGACTGTTGAATCACAGATCTGTACTTCTGAAACAAATAATGCAAGATATGTTAAGAAAAAAGAAAAAGAAGAAGAAGATAGCAGGAGGGGAAGAATGAAGGGGAGTAAGTCGGAGGGGGAGACGAACCATGGGGGACGATGGACTCTGAAAAACAAACTGAGGGTTCTAGAGGGGAGGGGGGTTGGGGGATGTGTTGGCCTGGTGATGGGTATTAAGGAGGGCATGTTCTGTGTGGAGCACTGGGTGTTATGCACAAACAATGAATCATGGAACACTACATCAAAAACTAATGATGTGATGTACGGTGATTAACATAACAATAAAAAATTAAAAGAAAAAAGAAAAAAGAAACTTCATATCTTTCTCTAGCTTTTCACTCTTTAGTAAAAAAAAATTTAGTTAATGATTATATGATATACTGAGTTCTTACGTTAATAGTATATATCTGAAGATAACCCCAGGTAAAATAATTGAAGGCAAATCTTGTCTATTAATGCACAATAAGCAGAGCAACAAACTAAAAAATACAGTTTTAACATATACAATTTTTCCTCTAAGAGGACAAATTTGAATGGAAGGGACAGTTATTTATATATATATATACACTTTCCATGGGCCTCTAAGGAACTCTAGCACCACTTCCACGTTATAGTGTACCTAACGAAACCTTAGAAAACACTGTTTCTCAAGGGACTTTACATTTTCCCATGACTCATATACTTCCCTAATGTGCATGATTAACTGAAATGCTACAAAAACTTAAGAAAATATCAAGCAAAAGATGTGGAGATTTTTGAAATTCAGTAAAATATAATAGGAATGAAAATGAAGATAATCTGTTCAATAGAAAAGTAAATTACTGAAGTAATACATAGATGTTTCTAGGCTCGTTACAAACTTTGTCTTTATGCAGATGTTCAAGATAAGGAAACTAGCAAGTATTACTACTTTAAAGCAACACATACACACACAGGCAACAAATTCTGATGGTTAGGACACCTATCTCTACTCTCAGTTTAACATGCAGAATGAGTTGGGAGAAATCTTGCTAGAAATCCTGTTCAGAGTCAATATTTATGATGTAGGGAAGATGTTGGGTTTTGGAGCCCACAGCCAAGATAGAATTCTTTAACATCTTTAGTGCAAAAAGGTGGTTTTATTAAAGCCGGGGGACAGGACCCGTGGGCAGAAATAGCTGCACTGGGGTCCCGACGAGCAGCCCATTATATACTTTCAAGTTGGGAGGGGGTTAGGGAGAGCATAAACCTCCCAGGTATTTTGGAAACAAGGTTTCCAGGATCCTGAGGGGGCTTGTTATTGTTAGGAAAGATCATTTGTTACTGTTTAGTAAACACTCAGTCATGAGACCCTTCAGATGTGGACAGATGGGTCATATGCTTGGGGGATGATAACATGTATCTTGTGGGGTAGATATAAAGGAAGTTTCCAGAGGAATTTTTATATGTTAAAGTAGACTTACAGGATCCTGGGGTGTTGGAATAATGTTAAGCTAAGATTGCCTTTTGCCCTTAGCCCTTAGCGAAGTATTAACATTGAGGCCACTGAGCTCCCAGAGGAAGGTTACTCAGTATTTGTTTAAAGGGCTTATCAATGGGCTGTAGGCAGTAAGAAAATTTATTATTTTTTTCTTTTGCCTTGCTTCCCAAATCACTTACACTCATTAAACTAATATTTACTGCTGGATGATATACTCTAGGCATTATGTTCCGTGCTAGAGATGAGGGGTTATCAAAAATAGTGGAATATTCACTTTTAGAAAGATTGAAGAATAAATATCTTCCCAAAGACACTTAAATCAGAATATCTAGAAATATGATCTGAAGAAGAGTGGGTAATGATCATGGGGGATAATGAAAAGTGCTGTGGGAACAAAGGCAGGAGAAAAATTATTAAATTGTCTTACTATCTAACAGCCCATTGACAAGTCCTTGAAACAGGCAGAATGGCATTTCTCTAGGCACTCAGCTGCCTCGATGTTAATACTTTGCTAAGGGCAAAAGGCAATCTTAGCTTAACATTATCCCAACCCCCCAGGATCCTATAAATCTACTTTAACATATAAAAATTTCTTTGGAAACTTCCTTTATCTCTAACCCCCAATATACATGTTGACAATCATCCCCCAAGCATATGACCCAAGGATATATATTTAAAGTGTCTCATAACTGAGTTTTTACTAAACAGTAATAAATGACCTTTCCTAACAATAACAAGCCCCCTCAGGATCCTGGAAACCTTGTTTCCAAAATACCTGGGAGGCTTATGCTCTCCCTAACCACCCCCCCAACTTGAAAGTATATAATGGGCTACTCCTCATGGCCCCAGTGCAGCTCTTCCTGCCCATGGGTCCTGTACCTGTGCTTGAATAAAACCACCTTTTTGCACCAAAGATGTCTCAAGGATTCTTTCTTGGCTGTCAGCTTCGAACCCTAAAGTCTTTCCTACATCAAGAAGGATGCTAAAAGTCATACTGATGAGGGGAAATTGGGAGCATGTGTTTCCTGAGGGATTTTGTCAATCTCTGTAACTGGAATCTTGGATTTTAATAACTCTGCTGCTGAGAACAACTGGAAAATTGGACAACACACATGGAACAAATGTTTTCAGATACTTGATGAATGGTGGTTCAGGACTGTGACCTGCGAGAAAAGAGGAGCGTTAAGGGATTCCTGACATGGGGCGGTGGTTAGGGCCCATGGAGAACACAGTAGTCAAGTTGAAATGAAAGCACAAGATGCGATCAGGAAGCGCGGAGGTGCTGGACTGTGGGAGCTGAGTACAGGAGTAGAAAGACCTAAGCAAAGTGATTAAGATGTTAGCATGGAGTTTTTGGATGACTTCTAAAGTGAACATATTAAGGTGAGATCCTATAAGCCCAGATCTAGAACAACTGCCAGGGAAAAAGAATCTACCAGAGATCTGTATGATGAAAATGAGTGATTCACACAGGGTTAGATCCATTCAAATTCTGTCAAATCTTAGTGAGGAAACATTGAATAGAGCTAGGGCTTCCAGTGAAGACAGCAAAAGAGAGAACTTGCCCCAGAAGAAAGGATTCACTGTACTCCATTCTCACAGAACTCAGCATTAACTCTGAAAAGGATTAAGTCAATTTGCAAGTAAATAAAAGTAAACAAACTCCTTGCCAAAATAAAACTCAACATTGTTTAAGGAAAGATTTAAAAATTCCCTATTCAACTGCAGAAGGTTTGCAATGTTTAGCATGCAAAGTTATATTTCTCTGCAGGTTGAAGAAGCAGGAAAATGTTATCCATAACCCCAGGAAAAACAAATCATCAGTACTAGGAATAACAGAGATAATAGAATTAGCGGATAAGGGCTTTAAAACAGCTGTAAATATTTGCAAGAATTTATTTATTTATTTTTAAAGATTTTATTTATTTATTTGACAGAGAGAGACACAGTGAGAGAGGGAGCACAAGCAGGGGGAGTGGGAGAGGGAGAAGCAGGCTTCCCACCAAGCAGGGAGCCCGCTATGGGGCTCAATCGCAGGACCCTGGGATCATGACCTGAGCCGAAGGCAGACGCTTAATGACTCAGCCACCCAGGCACCCCTATATTTGCAAGAATTTAAAGGCAGGGGCACCTGAATGGCTCAGTCAGTTAAGCGTCTGCCTTCGGCTCAAGTCATGATCCCAGAGTCCTGGGATCGAACCCCGCATCAGGCTCCTTCCACAGCGGGTAACCTGCTTCTCCCTCTCACTCTGCCTGGTGCTTTGCCTACTTGTATTCTCTCTCTCTCTTTGTCAAATAAATAAATAAAATCTTTAAAAAAAGGAATTTAAAGGCAAACACCAATATTAAAGAGAGAAATAGGAATTATGATAGAGAACCTAAATGAGTTACTAGGGGCAGGAGGTGATATCAGACATGAACATTTTATTGCTCACTTTTTAACAGCAGACTAGACATTGCAGAAAAAGAATTAGTGAATTTGAAAACAAGACAATAGATTTTACTCTTAATGAGGTTGCACTAAACATCCAAGGCTGGTGGGATCTCAACTCAGGAAACACTATCTTTGAGGTAAACATTATAGTAACTCACTGCATTACAACAATTATTACAGGTTGCCATAGGAAAGGACAAGGCATGTATATCAGTCATTTAAAGATGAGGCTTTAATTTCAACATCAACATTTCTTCAAATCTAGTTGTCAATCGTGTGACTTTGGGCAAATTATCTGAGCTTGGTGTCCTCTGAATATGGGAATAGTAATATCTATCTTACTGACATATTTTAACCCAGTGGCCACTGATATATTTGTATTTGAACAATAAAGCCAAAGAAAAAATTCTGTCTGATTATGATGTTATTTTCAAATTTATACATGATTTTTGGAACTGTTCCAGTTTTACTGAGATAAAGCTGATGTCAAAGTATTTTTCCATTGTTACCCTAATCATTAACTCTGTGTGAATGAGTGCATTTATATCATGTAAGTATCCACAGAACTATCCAGCTCATTTATGTTATTTGTTCCGCTCCTTGAGTTGTCCCTTACATTTTTCACTAGGGAATAAGTAGGGCGTCCTGGACAATTGGTAGGTAACACATAGCAATTTTAAAAAATCTCTCAGATGATTTGAATATCATCATCTGGATGAATTACATGCTACTTCCTCAGGGAGCATCACAAGAAGAAAAGCATAAATTCTCCCTAACCAAAGAAAAAGTAAAAGTAATTTAGAAGAAGAAAAGCCAGTTCATTAAAGGTGAGTGGTTAGGACTTGTTAATTTTGATTATCACCTGGGTCTTGGCAATTTCCCAGGATTCGTGGCTTCTGACCGTGGACACTATTCTGGTCACTGACAGATGATTCTTTCTAATACACCACAAAAATTCATTACACTTTTTGTTAACTGTAGTTTCCTGGAGTGGAATGGTCTTTTTAGAGTACTAAATCCTATGAATTGACTAGATGTCATAGATTCATTTGATTTGTGAGAATCAATAGTGGAATTCGGATATTACAAGTGAAGAGGAAGTTAGAAATATCTGAAAAAAATCACCACTGGTCTCATCAACTAGAAACTGTTAAGGTTAGTATTTCTAGATAAAATACAGAATGCCAAGTTACGTATGAATTTCAGATAAACAACAAATAACTTTTAGTATATGTATATCTAATGTTTAATAATATTTTTTCAAATAAATATATCCAGTGAAATATTTGAAAAAGAATATTTTAAGGTATATATTTCCCATGCAGTATTTTATAAACTACAAATAGTTGTAATGTAAGGACTCACAGGCATGAGCATGTAGATACTTTAGTTATTCATTTGTTTTCCCAACTGGGTTGCTTACTACTTGTTTTATTTGTGCAGAATGGACTTTACAAACTGATTGAGTAGCCTGGCAAAAAAATAGAATAACTTCTAAGAGTTATGGACAAAGCCCTGAACCTCAAATAACTCCTTACTAATATTACCATGTCTAAAGATTATAAAGTCATCCCTTTGCATTCTTTTTATATCCTGTGTACTCTAATAGCCCCAAATGGAAGTATTTAAAATGTTTGCATAATGATGTTCAAAACTGATCAGATATCCTTTTCAAAAAAGAAGAATGGACAGGGTATTACTATCTCTTTAAAATCTTGATAGCAATTCTTTTTTTTTTCATTATTAACATATTATGTATTATTTGTTTCAATGGTACCGGTCTGTGATTCATCAGTCTTACACAATTCACAGCACTCACCATAGCCAATGTCCATCACCCAGCCACCCCATCCCTCCCATGCCCCTCCACTCCAGCAACCTTCAGTTTTTTTCCTGAGATTAAGAGTCTCTTACGGTTTGTCTCCCTCTCTGGTTTCGTCTTGTTTCATTTTTCCTTCCCTTCCCCTATGATCCTCTGCCTTGTTTCTCAAATTCCCTCATATCAGTGAGATCATATGATACTGATAGCAATTCTTTTTTGATAAATACTCAGAAGTAGGGTTCCTGGATCATATGGGGAATCGCTAATCAACAGGTATGAAGTTTCAGTTAATGCAAGATAAATAAGATCTAGAGATGTATTATACAACCTTGTGCATATAGTTAACGATACTGCATTGTACATTTAAACATCTTTTAATGAGGTAGATCCCATGTTAAGTACTCTTCCCACAATAAAATAAAAATTAATATGAAAAAAAGGTAGGATAAAAGAATCCAGACGTCTTCAGAGGAAAGTAATAACTGACATTGAAAAGGGAGAAAAATTCAATAAACTCACGAGCATAATTCTTAGCAACACATTAAAGACTTCAAAGTGGTAGGATAGGTACTGGAATTCTGAATTCCTTGGTTAGTCCAGTGCATTTTCCATTCTGTGGGAAAACCCATGATAGCAGGTCCTGCAACACTTGGTGCTTATTTGTGAAACAGGATGGGCCCTGAAAGCTGGGGGAGACCCAATGGAAGAACACCAGACAACATCACCTAGCAAAATGGGATAGAAGTGGTTCACCAATCTCCAGTATGTCTTCGCTCCTCCATGCTCATTCCTGGGATCGAACTGGCTAAATCAACACTAAAAATTAGCACATTATTGGACTCTGCCAACTGCTACCAAGTAGCTTCAGACTCCAGCTGACCTTGGGGTAGGCTCCCAGGAGCTCCCTCTGATCGGTAGAAGTGTCTACCTTGACCCATTTGGACTGATAGTTATGCAGGTTAAAGCTAGACATCTCGTTACATTATAGTAATTCTATTCTCTATTCAAACATGTTCAACTCCAATTACTTCTCCAGTTGAAAATCATACTTACAGAATTCTACATGTTCACTGAGAAACTGAGTGTGAAAGGAAGGGAATCCAGGTAGATTAAGCTAAAGCAGTTTCACTGTCTTCAATCACTTTGCTTCACGGACTTAACATGTAAATTTTATGAAATGAAAAAGAAGAGACTTATCACTGAAATATTTGCAAATCACAGTGTTATACTCTCTATATACCCTATTGTACAGTTCAAGAAATAAATTAATATAATAAATGCTCAAATAAATGTTGAATGTTTTATAGACCATATCATTTCTACAGTGGAAGAATTAATTTATGAATATAAATAACCATATTAGAGGAAATAAAGCATATAAAATTCAATATTGAAAATCCCTGAATCTTGATATACACTGTATATTTTAGCAGAAAGGTATCCAAATCTTTTTTTTTTTTTGAAAGATTTATTTATTGGGGCAGCTGGGTGGCATAGTCGGTTAAACATCTGCCTTCAGCTTAGGTCATGATACCAGGGTCCTGAGATCTAGCAGGCATCAGGCTCCCTGCTAGGTCCTGGAGTCCTGGGATCTAGCAGGCATCAGGCTCCCTTCTAGGTCCTGGAGTCCTGGGATCTAGCAAGCATCAGGTTCCCTGCTAGGTCCTGGAGTCCTGGGATCTAGCAGGCATCAGGTTCCCTGCTAGGTCCTGGAAACCTGGGATCTAGCAGGCATCAGGCTCCCTGCTCCGTGGGAAGCCTGCTTCTCCCTCTCCCTTTGTCCCTCCCAATGTTCCTTCACTCTCTCTCTCAAATAAATAGATAAAATCTTTAAAAGACTTATTTATTTATTTGGGGGAGAAGTGGGATGGACAGAGGAAGGGGAGACAGAGTCCTAAGCAGACCCACGGAAGCTGAGGTAGGGCTAGATCTCAAGACCCTGAGATTAAGACCTGAACCAAAGCCGAGTCAGACACTTAATCAACTTTCCTACCAGGCACCCCAGGAAAGCACAAGCACAAACCTTATGCACTTTGAAGCTTATACTAATTTGAGAGTTTTCTTTTTTTAAAAAAAAGGAAATAAAAAGTATACGTGTAAATTGAGGTATAAATGTGAAATTAAAGTAGAAAAATAATCTTAAAAGTTCAGTTGTTAACTAAGAGTCAAAAGCATCATAAAATCTGTAAATATGTTTTTATTAATGAAATTCTACATACATCTTAGCCTATTTGGTGGTAGGAGTGTTCTTAGAAGCTGTTCTTACACCAAAATGGATTGCACTATTCAGTGATAAATATCATTGATTCTGAAACATATAGATATATTCACTAACCATCAAATAAAGCTTTATTTACTCAGTCTTCCTTTACTAGACCCCACAAATGCCTGCAGACATGCCAGTGCATCTTGATATTAGCTGAAGTATGATGGAGCAGAAGTTGGAATAGAGAGAGAAAGTAGACTTAATTGATCAAGGCTAAAACGTTAAAATATTTTACATTTTCAACTTTTACAAAGATATAGCACTTTGTTAGTTCATTGCTAAGTCCCCACCCAGGGCCTTGAAAATGCTCATGAGGGAACTTAAATCTCAAATTTCATTAGTTGCATATTACTTCTGCTTCTTTCTTTAAGAATATCAAAATTTCACTGGGATTCTCATACAAAATTGGAAGTGTACTAAAGAAAAATTGTGCTATCATTGTGTAGGTGAAATAAAGTCTAATAAAAATCTATATAAATACTTATGTGGCTTTTTAAAAATCAGTGGATATGTTCCAAATATTGTGGACTCTATTTGGAGTTTATTTTTTTATTATTTTTTTAAAATATTTTATTTATTTATTTGACAGAGAGAGACACAGTGAGAGAGGGAACACAAGCAGAGACAGAGGGAGAGGGAGAAGCAGACTCCCCACTGAGCAGGGAGCCCGATGCGGGGCTCGATCCCAGGACACTGGGATCATGACCTGAGCCAAAGGCAGATGCTTAACGACTGAGCCACTCAGGCGCCCCTCTATTTAGAGTTTAATCAGCCATATCAGTGCATGTGTTTCATATGGATCTCTCCAGCTGAGAAGTAGATGATTCTATCATTTCTTTTAGTTTCAAAATCAGATGGGAGAATTATTTTTCTATCCCCATTACAAAGAAAAATCTACATTCTGTCTATAAATACTATGATATGTTTAAATGATACTACATGAAAGCTGATAGCAACCTCTCTGTTTCTTCCTAGAAGAGCTAACTGGACTAAATGAGTCCAACAGAATCTAACATCGCTGACTGGGTTCATTCTAATGGGAGTCACAAGGCAACCTGAGCTTCAGGTTCCCCGGTTTGGGGTCTTCCTCATCATCTACATAATCACAGTGGTGGGCAACCTGGGGATGATCACCTTGATCCAGGTGGACTCCCACCTCCACACACCTATGTATTTTTTTATCAAACACTTGGCTTTCATTGACCTTGGTAATTCTACTGTCATTTGTCCCAAGATGCTGGTAGATTTTGTGGTGGATCAAAATACCATTTCTTATTGAGCATGTGCCACACAGTTGGCTTTCTTCCTTATGTTCATTATCAGTGAATTTTTCATCTTGTCAGCTATGGCCTATGACTGCTATTTGGCCATCTGCAACCCCTTGCTCTACAATGTTATTATGTCCCAGAGATTTTGCCACATGCTGGTGGGCATTCCATACCTCTACAGTACTTTTCAGGCTCTAAGGTTCACCATTAAGATTTTTACATTAACCTTCTGTGGTTCTAATGTTATCAGTCATTTCTATTGCGATGATGTTCCCTTTTTACTTATGCTCTGCTCAGATGCACAAGAAATAGAATTGTTGATCATACTATTTTCAGCATTTAATTTGATCTCTTCCCTGCTGGTAGTCCTAGTGTCCTGCATACTAATTCTGATATCTATATTTCGAATGCATTCTGCAGAGGGCAGGAAAAAAGCTTTCTCCACATGGGGTTCTCATCTGACAGTGGTGGTTGTGTTCTATGGCTCTCTTCTATTTATGTACATGCAGCCCAAATCTGCCCATTCCTTTGATACTGATAAAATGGCCTCCGTGTTTTACATGTTAGTGATCCCCATGCTTAACCCCTTGATCTACAGCTTAAGGAACAGAGAGGTAAAAAATGTCTCCCGCAGGGTCTTTAAGAATCAATGCAAACTTTGTATCTAATATTCAATATGGAATATTGTTCTAATAAACTACGATAAAGGCAAATGCCACTTAATAATCTAATAGATATAATTACTTTCTTTTTGGCTCCAGAACAGACACTAATTATAATACACAAATTCTTTTTCTTATATTCAGCCAATATATTTATATATACTCAGTTCATATTTTGTATCTTAATTAAATGCACCACCTAAAACATTCCTTGCTTTTATTTTTTACTGAATCAATGTATTTTAAGAAAAATACATGGAAAAATTATATATTTATTAAAGAGAAAGATCTAGTAAGAGAACAAAAACATTCCTTGCTTTTGATTCAAAGTTTCTTTTAGCTATCCCATAGAACCTCACATTTGTCCCACTGAAAACCTTCATTAAATGCTGCCTCAGTAAGCAAAGTGTGTGCTTTTCTGTGGGGGGGGGGAGGTAGGTATCTTCTCAATCTTGTTTTCACTGTATTTTCTGAACCCACAACAAAGTATAAACAAAGTGAGTCTCCTGCAGATAATGTATAGTTGGATCATGATTTTTTTTTAAATCCATTCTATCAGTCCCTGCCTTCAGAGAATTTAATTTATTTACATTTAAAGTAATTACATTACAAGGTTTTCATGAGTTTGTGGCTCAACACTAACTTGGGCCTGCCTATGTTGAAAGTCCACAAGGTGGTTAAAAGAATGAGCATGGAAATGCAAGCTGAACAATTCCAGAGATCACACAGATCAGGAAGACATGGGAATTTAGGAAAGCTGGAGTGTAGAGTCCATGGTCAACACCTGGGCATCCAAAGAGATCTCAGAGGTAAAAGCTACTTTAGACTCCTGTTTATATAGTTTGAAAACAGTCTCAAAAAAAGCCACATAATCCTTGTTTATAACATTATTAACATTGTTTAACAAGGTTTACGACTTAACATTATCTGAGGAAGACACAAAAATTGTAGTACTCATTAATATAAAATTCACAATACTTAGCATCCAATCACAAATACTATGCATATGTGAAGGCAGAAACATGTGACCCTACCAGATGATTAAAACAGGTCCTGAAATGATGGTGATGATAGAATTATCAAGCAAGGATTTTAAAATATATTATAAATACATTCAATATACTGAATGATTTAATAAAAACACTCACCTTTTGAGGACACAAATGAAAAATTAAAAAATGACCAAAAAGAATTTCTATAAATTAAGATACAGTATTAGATGCAAACAAATATATATTAGATGAGAGTAGCAGCACCTGAAAAAGAAATGACAAGTACACTTAAACATATCACATAAACAATAGAAGGTATCCCAATGAAACCAGAGAGAAAACAAAAATTGGATAAACACTAAGTGACCTGTAGAACAATAACAAGCTGCACACTATACATATAAGTGTAGGTCCAATTGGGAAAAAAGAGTATGTAGAGCAGAAAAGCCACTGCAAGTGATGTTGGCCAGAATTTTTTTTCCAAATTCATTAAAAAACAACTATATGATACATATACATATATGTATAATACAAGAAGCTAAAATTCTTCTAAGCAGGGTAAATAGAAAGGAAATTACACCAACATCACAATCAAATTTCTAAAAACCAATGATAAAGAGAAATCCTTAAAAACAGAGATGAAAGGTACTTTATGAACAGATGAAGGAAAGGTTTACCAATGATACATTGGCAGCAACAATAGAAGTCATAAAGCATTGTCTTATATCAACCCATAATTATATATCCAGTAAAAATATCTTTGGATAGTGGATGCTGTATTATCAAATATTACATAACATTTTTCTTGGAAGTCATTCTTTCATTTACTCATGCACTGTGTGCGTGTGAGTAATATACCTAATACATGCATGATATCATATAACTGAGACGCTGAAAAAAGCACATTTATGATTTCCAGTGTTTAGTGGTATAGTATAATTTATTTATTCAGTTAGACACAGGCACAAAGTATTTTTGATTTTTCTCAATGGGACATTCCAAGAATATACAGAGACCCACGGTATTCTCCCTCAAGTAATTACATGCATTTTTTTTTCCTAGAGTTAGATTAAAATTTTAACAAAATGAGTCTCAAGGGAGTAGGAAAATGTTTAAATACATTCTGCAGCAACCAGTGAAGATTAAAACAGAAGTCAAAACGATTCTCCAGTAAGGTGAATAGAAAACACTGGTTTTTGAAAATGTCAGGACATACTACAGCTTAAACTGGATCATCACCAGAGTCCTGAATGGCATTATGCTCTGTAAAACTGTTTCTTCCTTTGCAGTATGCTTTTCCGTCATCAACAGGATTAATGTGTTGGAGAGACCTGTTCTTTACTCTCTGGTACTCTGAGCTATGCTTTTTAGACCATCTTTGTTTTCACATCTTACTCTTCTGTCATCTATTTTAACAATCTTTGTGTATCTTTATTTACCTGATGTTCCTCCAGTCCACTTTTCATTTCCCATTGACTGACTCTGGGTGACCTTAAGAGAAAGACTGTTACTGTGTTTATGAGAATAGATTCTGAAGACAGAATAACTTTTTTGAATTTTGACTCCACCACTTACCTTAGTGACCTTGGTTAAGTCATTTTTTTTGACTTTTAGATGGATATGGTCATATTCTCTACTTCCTAGAGGTATTGTGTGCATCATATGAGTTAATATATATGAAGCGCTCAGAAAAGTATCCAGCACATAATGAGTTCTCTATCAGTCCTTGATATCCATTTGTATGCTTCTTCCCACTGGGCCTCTTTAGATGTATCTCCATGAAGAATTCATAAATAATTAGAATGGTCAAATCCTCTTTGTGCAAGAGGACTGTATTATTGGAAGAGCATTAGAAAAAATGATTCAATAGGCAGAAACACCAAATGTGGCAAATGTAAACAAGATATTAATAACGAAATTTTGAAATTAATATTACACTATATTTTGTCTTGGGTAAATCAACTGAGCTGTATTGCAGTGAGAATATTGAAATATATATTTAATGTCAGAGGTTTCCTGAATACCATCTCATGCTTTGGTCCACTAACCATTTAGAAAGGTTTTTGTTTGTCTGTCTGTTTTATGTCTTGCTACTTTAAACAGATATGATTATTGTCAATAAGGTAAGGCTAATGGTTTAGGTATAGATATTTGTTTTCCTTGCTTCAAAATTTTAAAAAGGTTGATGTATAATAGATAGGTCTTTTGACATACTTAAAACAACTTTGGGCCCAGAAAAGCAGGTCATTGTATCAAAACAACCACTTCAAAGTATTTGGCCCCTTTGAAGAATAGTTGAGCAAAGTTTCCATCACTGTGTGTTGTGTGTAGACCTCAGTCTATCATAGGGATGCCATCAGGTAGGGATGCCAGTGGACCTATGCTACCCCTGGTCTTGAAGGGCTTGGAGGACCTGGAGTTCTACCTTTATTGGGGTCAAGGAAGGAATGTCTAGAGTTTCATGGGCTTGCTCTTTATTGGTGACTTTAAAACGTAGGAACAGGAATTAAAGCTTGGAAAGGGAAATGCAGGCTCCCTCCAACAGTTGGCCCTCTGGGTCACCCAGGGCTTTCCAAAACGGCGGCTTCATGGGCAAGGTGGCCTGGCATTTTACCTAGTTGTGTAGCTGACAATGTGCTTATTTGAGATGGATGTTTTTGAAATTGACACCTTGGCAATGAAAAGCTTAATCTCAGGGATTTACGTTACAATTAAAAAAGCTGATCGTCAGGCACTTACACTACATTGTGAGTGAAGGTATGTGTAGTTTGGGCCTCATGGTAAAATGAGTCTCTATTTATGTTTTATGATAAAGAAATTATATCTGTATCTGGGCGCCTGGGTGGCTCAGTCGATTAAGTGTCTGACTTTTGATTTCTGCTCAGGTCATGATCTCAGGGACCTGGGATCAAGCCCCACATGGGGCTCTGTGCTCAATTCACAGAGTCTGCTTGAGATTCTCTCTCTGCCTCTCCCTCTTTCTCTCCCCCTGCTCCTACTCTCTCTCACAAATAAATAAATAAATAAATAAATAACATCTTTAAAAAAAGGGTATCTGTATCTCATGCATAATATTTTAAATTTTCTTAGAAGATAGCATCTCAAATATAATACACGGTGATTTTATACCTTACATAGGTTACCAAGATGAACTGTATGGAGAAACAGAATCATACTGCAGCGAGTAAGGTGACTGAATTTATTCTCATGGGGATCATCAACAACCCTGGGATGCAAGCACCTCTCTTTGGAATCTTCCTCGTCATATGCCTGGTCACAGTGACAGGCAATCTGGGCATAGTTATCTTGACCCATTTGGACTCCAAGTTCCATACTCCCATGTACTTTTCCCTTAGACATTTGTCAATTACTGATCTCGGTTACTCCACTGTCATTGGCCCAAAAATGATGGTAAACTTTGTGGTGCACAAAAATACAATTTCCTACCATTTGTGTGCCACCCAGCTGGCAGTCTTTGAGATTTTCATCATCACTGAACTGTTTATTCTTTCAGCAATGGCCTGTGATCGTCACGTAGCCATCTGTAAGCCTCTCCTCTACGCAGTCATCATGGCCGAGAAGGTGTGTCGGGTGCTGGTCCTTGCTCCTTATCTCTACAGCACATTTGTGTTGCTCTTTCTCACAATTAAGTTATTTAAGTTGTCCTTCTGTGGCTCTAACATTATCAATTATTTTTACTGTGACCAGCTTCCTCTCATATCCATGCTCTGTTCTGACACGCGTGAATTAGAATTGATCATTTTAATTTTTTCAGGCTGTAATTTGCTCTTTTTCCTCTTGATTGTTCTTATATCCTACATGTTTATTCTTGTCGCCATTCTCAGGATGAATTCAACCGAGGGGAGATACAAAACCTTCTCCACCTGTAGCTCCCATCTGACAGTGGTGGATGTATTCTATGGGATATTACTGTTTATTTACCTGCAACCTAAATCCAGCCATACTTTTGATATTGATAAAATGGCCTCTGTGTTTTACACTGTGGTGATCCTT